CGTTTTGTGAACACCGTGTTTCCATTACAGAGAGCGCATAAATGAATCTATATTATCACATTGCAGTGCACCTAAATTTAAATTTTGCCCATTTTATATCGCGAAAACATGACAACAATTTTCCATGAACAACACTCTCATTTTTTTTAAATGAAATTGGGGGATTAATCACAATTGATTGAACGTGCGAACGAAAGACTCTTCTCGAGGAAAAAACCGGTTAAATAAACCTCCATGCCACAAAAAAGTTGAATATTTCTTGGAAATCGTAAGCACTGCACTGGTACAGTTGGCACCCTTGCGAGTGCTGCAGCAACAGCTGCATTTTCATCTTATCCAGCCCGAAATTAAACAATGGAAATCCAAAGCGAATGGAAGCGTTTATGGAACATCAACCGAGCATTACAAGACACCAATTTTGACTCAATTGCATTAAAGTAGTTCGTTAAAGTAAACTTTCTCCAATCGGAGTTCAACGAGTAATTTTCCCCGTTACGTTTACCAACTCCGGTCGAGTTAAGCTGTATTATTTGTTCGGGAACTGGAGTTATGACAGGTTCAGTTAACGTTAATTAAAACCTTAATTAAAGCGCAACAATCTGTGGTAAAAACGAGCCTCAATTGCTGGCCAGTTTCCACTACACCGTCCAACTTTTATGCAATTTTATTGATGGATATGAATTACATGAGTAGTTTATTTACTAACTGCTGATCAGCCTGTGGCTTTAGTCAATCAGAATATGTTTTTGGCGAGTTTTTTTTAACTGACTCTTAACTTGAACTGACATCAATGGACTTTTTTCTTCTACTTTCACCTGTTCACCCCGTTGTTAATCTTTTTATTCCTTTCAAAAATGTGTACCAGTTTCCATACTGCCGCTTTGTTTGCGACAAACTGCGGATTTTTATTCAAACCAGAGTCTCTTGGTCTTCGTGGCAAATTTCTTCTTTCTCCCGTACCTTCTATCCTGTTCCTCATTCTCTGCTATGCAAAAACAGCCCCCATTATTGAATCATTCTGTACAAATGCACAAAAATATGGGTCAAAACGGTCATTACTCGCGAAATTTTCATTTAATAAATCGCTGTCAGCAGCCGGAAGCGGACTTTATGAGATATTCCAGCCAAATGTTTTCTTATCAATTCGCCGGTGGTTCGAGACGCCCTGAGGTAAGATCACGGCAGCAGCATCTCCTGCAATATTAAATTTAAAGTAGCTCTAGAAATTTGATTTTCGTCGCACAAAGACCGCGTAGTCATGCACGGAAATTGCATTATCCCGGAAATGTGTGATTTCTAATGCGACGTTTCCCTCGAAGAAATATCAGACGCGTCTGGATGTGTAACATCATATCATGCCTAAACGTTCGGATGGGGGCAGGCCGGGCTTCGTCTAATTTCCTTTCTCAATGCCCGATTTATGAGTGAAAAGACGCCGATCAAGCCATTTTCATATCAAAGAGCCACTCTTGCACTCAAACAGGAACATCCTGGCTGCATGGATCGTAAATTGTCGCCCGTTTCCTTCAAACTTAGGAGATTTTCCCGCTTCCGGAGGCTGCGGCCTTTGAACTCGAAGCGATAAGCCGATATTGACAAGGACGCAGCCATAAATTGAGCAGCAGTCTCAAACCTGCTCATAAACAGTGTTTAATAAACGAAAACTCTGATTTTACGGTGTTCAATAATGGAGAGATTGCAATAAAATCGCTGTTTATAACTGCACCGAATGGACCGTTAAGTCATCCTCGGAACTGATTGCCGCATTAATATTGCGGCTGGTTTTGCCCTTTTAACACACACAAATGTAGCGGAAAGTGTTGAAAAAGTTGAAAAATCTTCCACAGACTAGTCCTGTACTGTGCAAAAACTTTTCTTGAAACTTGGACTCTTTGGAGAAAACAGCCAACATTGCCCAACGCTGCTAGGCCTACTGGAGCGTCACTAGTCCTCTATTCACTGGTGAAAAAATGAGCGCTCCATCTCAATCTGTTCGGGAGAACGAAGCAAAAAAGTGGCATGAAGAATGAAATTTTGAGCAAATCGTGCACCTAAATGAGTGATATTTAGCAGACTTTTAGGTCGTAAACTATACGCTCAAAAAATTCACTTGAGCTTAATCACCCTGTATACCTTCTGCACCTGTTCGCCCCCCCAAAACACGAATTTCAGTGGAAAAAACCCGTTTAATCAAATATAAGCGCCTCTAAACCAACTCCCTTCTAATAGGGTGTTTTCATTGTATCAAAAATTCCTACAAACTGAACATTAATCTATGGTAATATGTATATATGAAAGATTAAATAAGTTTATACTGTCTATCTATTGCTATTTTGTTAAATATTTAATAAACAAATTCAGCTAAAATTCAAATTTTTCGTGAATCTCTAAAACGCAATCCTATCGGTTGTGACGTCTCTGGTCATATAAATGGCGGATTGTTTACGTTCTGTGCATAGTGTTTAGCTGTGTGGTTGTGTTTCATTAATTATTTTGTCGATTTAAATAATTTGTAGTTTGTGTTAAACTAAAAAATGTCTTCAGAAGGATTCCTTAAAGCGTCAACAAACAATTTACCATGTGTACATATTTTTATGGTTACCGAATTTAAAAAAAACGACGCACCCTTTAATTCAGCCGAATTTAAGGGTGTCAAAGCAGCAGCGTAAGTAAAAATCCGTAAATTCATTATTAGTTACTCTCTCCTTAATATACGAATCTGTCTGTATTGGTTTGAATTAGGTAAATAATATATAGAATTTCACTTACTCAACTTAACCTAACTTATACACATGGCTGCTTTAAAAGTAAAATGAACTCCTAAATTTGTATTTTGGGCATCACGAGAACAATTGGGGATATCGGATATGTGGAATTGAAACGCGAGGGTTCTTTGTGCACTGTAGAAGGTAGAATTTGTCCAGAACACAAAGTACGATCGAAAACATATTCTATCCGCCTCATCATTAGCTTTTTGTTCGTACTTTCATTAAAATGATCCTCGCATAAAAAAACATTGATTTTCATTTAGGAACATCACGTCTAGCTGCTTTGAAGCATAAAACTTTACGTGCAAAATCATGAGGAACAGTTAAAAAGAGTTTGTTTGGAGCACTTATTGAGGCATCCTGGCACAACTCACCACTTATTTTGTGATCTATACATGTCACTATTTTCCATTATGCAAGATAATAATAACAATCAATAAAATAATGATAATCACAATAACTTAAATAGTAAAACAAAGCTGCGAAAACAAAATAAACACGAGACACTTTGTTGATATGACCTGCTACGTCACAATCGGGATAGGCAACCGACGATACGGATTCGGCGTTTTTGGCGGAAAATATCTGATTTGAATTTAAATTCGCTTTAAAATTATTATAGACTTTTTTGCAAAAAAATTATATCACTGCAGTGTTTGCCATAACTACTTTCTATATATCAAAACTAAAAAAAAGTGAACACCCTATTGCACCTTAATGCCTGACTCCACGTTTCGAATCATGCACTTTTCGTTTTTTTTGCTTCACTACATCAGGATTCATTGGATCTTGAATCACATTCAAACGCGAATTTTTGGGTTTTACTGGCTCAGCAAATTAACGTGGACGTGACAGGAAAACGGGCAGAAAAATAAATCTTTTTGGACACGGACTGTAGATGGTGCTAGCAAAAGAAGGAGCTGAAAATGAGCAAAACCCATGGCGAACCTTGCAAGTTCCTCTATCCCCTGAGCAAAATCTTCTGCCCCCTATTCAGTTTCATTTATTAGCCTCCATAGAGCGCAAGCAGAACATGAGGTGGACAATTCAAATTCCCAGCTCATTTTTCTTGCGCGCAGCAACAGCAGCCACTAGAGCTGCGCCCCTACCACTTCCATCTTCAGAGAGCATCAGCTGGAACTTGTACCCTGGAGCGATCAGCTCGTTCATTTTTTCCGTCATAATTCTCCTGGAAATCATCGGCGCTTTACCTACTTTTGGGTAACTTTAGCTGTCCAACCTGAAATGCGGGTGATTCTTGTATACTGAGCCATCGATCCCGACCACCACGTAGGGTTCCTGCATTTTTTCGATCAGGACGCACATGGAGGCGCCGATTAAATGGGCAGACCGTCTCGATACTGTTTGGCAGATGTAGCGAAAGTTCAGCATGTCTTCTTTGGAGGCGTTTTCTATGCCCAAACTGCCTAGGATCTCTTTGGTTGTCTCTTGCGTTTCCACTGGTTCTGACTCGACTTGCGACATCATTTCGCAGGAAAACGCGTTACTGAAAGCTGGCGCTTTATTTGTGGGAGTTTGCAGGAATGTTGCCTACCTGGTTTCCAGAGCGGTTGCAGCAGTGGTATCAAAGAGCAGCCCTTCTTTCACCAAGGCGAGAGCCCGCAGGCGCACCAGCTCCCCCAGATACATCCCCGATACGCACTTTTCGTGTATTTGCCCGCCAGGGTTGATGCTGTTCTCATCCACCATCCGGTCTTCCTCTGTCCTGATGAAATCCAGCGCCCCATCCTCTCCAAAGGCCCCCATCTCCAGATTAATAATAACCTTGCCAGTGCCCATATCGGGTTCGTTGAACAGTTCAGCGTTAGTTTGGGTTTCGTAATAGCATCCGTTACTGCCAGTCCCGATAATCAGACCAATGCGACAATTGGGATTCTTCCAGGCACAGGACATTAAGGTTCCGGTCGTATCGTTTAGCACTGCACACACATCGATTTCCACATCATTTCTGCGCTGGATGGCCTCGATGAGCCATTGAACCACGTCTTGGCCTACCACGTCCTCACAATTGAAGCCTTTGGTCCACCTGCGCAAGATCCCAGAGCAGAGCCCCACTTGGGTAACTGGAAAACTGAACGTGAAGCCCAGAGGGAGGTTCTCCGCCTGCACGCCATACTCTTGGGCGAACTCCGCCAGGCATGCCGCGATGTGGTCGAAGAGCGCAACTCCAGATCCAGTCATGACCTCATGAGGAACGGCGAAGACTTTCGACTGCATCTCGCACTTGTTTGCGTCCAGATCTACTAGCAAAGTCCTGAAGTTGGTCCCTCCCAAATCCAGTGCTAGGAACTTGCCCACTTCGGTGCCATCAGGCAGGTCTTGCACGTAGGTGGGGAAGCATTTGATCACCGCATCTTCATGCGTGGCCTTTTTTAGACCTCTTTCGATGTTTTCCCGGAAAAGTTGCATCTCTTTGCGGAGGGTCTCGTTCGTGAGGACCATGTCTTGCATGCGCTCTTTAACAGCGGCTGACACCAGAGGGTCCAGCAGGTCTTCGACTCTGATGGTGGCGATGGGATTGCAGATTTTACTGCGGCAAGCCATTTGCGATTGTGCACGTGAATTTGGAACGGCTGGACAGTCATTGATTGACAATTGGGGAGAGGTTGAAAAGAGAGTGTTCGAAAATGGCGATTTTTCAATTCTCTAATCGCTCGCTGTTGACAAGGGCGGATCCAAGGGGGGGGGTCATGGGGGCATTTTTTGAGAAAACAAGCATTTTTTGAGCAAGCATTTCTTGAGAAAACTGCCATTTCCTTATCAATGATTCACTTTCTAAAAAGGCCATTTATTTCTCTCTAGAATGACGTACAAATGAGCGTTCTTGCTCATTTTGCCTCCGAGAAATGAGCAAAAACGGGA